CTCCTCGTCAAAAAGCCTTAGAAAGTATAATATCTCTTACCTTCTTCCCAACCTGAGCCTTAGACCACTTGCATGCTCTCCCACTCATCCGAGGTAAACATTTGCTTCAACTGCACTCTCCTCGAATGTATGCTATCTAGGCATGAGTACCAGGTCGCAAATCTCGTGACCCCAGGCCTCACAATCTCTTTCTTCTTTGTAAAGGTACGCATCATGCTGAGGGTGATATGGTGGCTATAAATGAAATTCGTAACATAGTTGGCCTTCTTCACTACACCTGATATCTTGGTTAAACCGCCAAGAGCCTCAAGCATGAGGTCTATATAATGTGCTGCACATGGTGTCCAAACGATTCTAGGATAAGCTATGCGTAACAAATTAGATGCAGCAACATTAGGAGCAGCATTGTCTGTGACAACCTATACAACAGGATGCTCCTCAACCTCTTTGATTCCCTTCTCTATCGCTTGAAATATTTAATGGGCATCGTGGATATGATTAGAGGCATCAATCAATAGACCTCAAAAAAACAGCCCCTACTGGACAATTCACAAGCAAATTCATTTGACTTCTTCTCTTCCTATCACTCCAAGCATCAGTCATAAGAGAAACCCCATACTGAGCCCATGCATCTTTCTTAAGTTCTATAGCTTCCTTCGTGGCATTCAATGCCTTTTTAAATTGGCCAGGGCCAAATTGGCCAATTGCCTCTACTGCAGCATAAAAGCTGCTCAAGCGAGCAATATTGAAAGGAATGCTCGCCTCATAAAACCATGCAGCCAAATAATACGTAGCTCTATCTCTCTCTTCTTTCGTGATAACCATACTTCCAACCCGGATCACCACTTATAGAGGAGGCAGAAGAAACCTTATCCAAATGATAAGGCTCCTTTTGTTCCTTTTTATGTTTTACTGAACTCACGTATTACTTAATTTCCTCCCTGATAGCTTCATGAGCATTTTTATAAGGGGCAACATCCCCCTAATACCGACAAGGTTTTTTTGAACCGGTTGTACCCTTATTAGTATCGTTTTTGCAATAATTACATCTTATACAAATTTCTTTGGCAATAATTACATCTTATACAATTTTTGTTATTTGGATTTGTGTTATAACCATACTTTCAACCCGGATCACCAAAGAAGACATTGTAAAAATAAAATAAAATCTCATATATGAAGATTCTTAACTAACCTTTTTGCTCAATCTTCAATATTTACTGTTTGAGACGTTTCCCAATTTCAAATACTTCCTAAAAACCTTCTAATAAGCTTAAAAAATCAAAATCAAATCCAAACGAAAAGGATGATGTTTGGAACGATTTTTTAAAATTTTGAAATACTCGATCGATCTCACCAAAATGTAAAAAAAATGTTTTGTTTCAATTTTTTTTTTTCACTTCAAAAGGTACTCGAAAATGCCAATTCACAAGGGCCATTTTCGCCCTTGCGCGGGCCTAGTCTTTGGGTGCCTACCTAGGGCTAAGCGCCTAGGTGCTTGCCAAGGCAGGCGGCCGCCTAGGTCCAGGCTCCCCCGGCCCGCCTGGGCGTCAGGCGGACCACTCTTTAAATTGCTAGTATTATTAATAAGTAATAGGCCAGGCTGGAAAACTTCTAATAACCATAATGAAAGGGGTACAAAAAGTTTGCGATGAAAACCCAAATACCCAAATTTTGAAAAAAAGACTCTAAACACAAATAAATATAGTAGTCTATCAGGGCCTACTTATTTGTTTATAAATATCAAGTATTGATGCAACAACTCAAGCTTTTACTATTTAGTTATTTAGTGATTTGCAAAAATCAAGTTTGTGCTGCAAGATGCAACAAATCAAAATCAAGTATGAAAACAATAAGGTAAGAAATTAAATTCAATTGTCAAATTTGTAGTGTCAGATGCATCTAATCCACCTGAAGTCTTAAAACAACAAAATAACAATTCAAACTCAACGCTCAAGTATGTAGTTACTAGTGTAAGATGGAACAAATCTACCTGAGTCTCGAAACAATAAAGTGAATTGAAAATATTAATAACCTACAAAAAAAAAAGAAAAAAAATTACCCAAAGCTGTAAAAAGTTTGTAATAAAGTAAAATAAATTGCTATTAACCAAATCTTTATAAATTGTCAATAGACTCATACTAGAATCACATAACCCAATTGAAACCAAACTCCTCCCCCCCTTATAAAAAAAAAGAAAACCACCCCAGATAAAAACATAAAAAAAATCCACAAAAATATTATCCAAAATCCAAAAAGATCACTTACCAACATTCACAAATATCAATAAACTTTAACACAAGAAATGAAATACGATAACCTTTTACACACCATCAAACATGACACAAATCAGTGATCATTAGTTGTTGAAAGTCCTCTTTTGCAGCCTCTTCGATTGTCAAAAACTATCGGATTTATTGCTTTTGAATTTCGCAAGAAATCGAAAAGTTGGAAGAGTCTTTCAGTATTCAAAAATATTTCAAAATCTTGCTTTTTATGGTGTCAAATTCTCTAACAATGAACTTGGAATTGTTTTGGAGGGTGAAAATGCCCACCTAAAATTCTTTTTTTGCTTTTTTTTTTGTTTGGGTTGGGTGGTTGGGGGGGGGGTGGAGGCTTTTTTACCCTTGGCTGAGGGCCTTTCTCTGCCCTTGGCCAAGGGTAATTCAAGGTCTGTGTTGGTGTGGTCCAAGTGCCTAGGCAGGCACCTAGAAGCAAGCTGCCTAGGACCTCGCCCAGTGCCCATTCGACGTGCCAGGCTGCCTAGTTTGCCTAGTCATCTGGGCGGCCGAATTTGTTTTTTTTTTTCTTGAAGTTGTCGACTATATTGTTAATATGAATAATTTGTAGATTCCTCATGAGAAGTATCCCGCAGTCCATAATCGTTTGCACTGTATAAAAGTCACTGGTATTAACAGAAAATTTTTTACCAAAAAAATGAGTAGATGGCAGCCTGCATGTTGGGTTCTCAACAACTCATGCGAGTGAGAGAAAGATGGGAGATGATGAAAAAATAAGTAGATGCCGGCCCTCACATCGGGTGCTCAAGTACTCGTATAAGTGATAAAAGGTGGAGAGAGATAATTGTTATTACTTTTTTTTTGGGGGAGGGGATGTAAGAGGAGAAAGGAGATGAGGTTAAAGAAAAAGGCTAAAATAGTGTGAAACTGAAGGGGAGAGAAGGTTGAGAAGAAAGAGAAGAGGGTTGAGTTGAAATAGCGAGAGGAAGGGAGGAGAAATCTGGTGCTTGTAGGAAAAAAATCCTGGTAACATATGTGGAACAACCGGGTTATGGCTGAGTTATAGGAAAAAAACAGCAAGTTATAGGAAAAAACAGATTGTGCTAAACAAAAAAAAACTTGTGTAGATAAGATAGCAGAGTGAGAAGTAGGAGCTAGGAGAGAAGAGGGGAGGAAAGAGATGTCGGGAGAATGTATATAGAAAGGTGAAGGGTAGACTTTTGGGAGATTTGGACTTACGGCCAGTCATATCTAAGAGGAGAGCCCTGCTCCTTCCCCCTGGAGAAAGGAGGAAGAGGAGGAGGGGGAGAGGTTTGAGGCACCCAGAAAAGTGAGGAGAGAGATTATACATTTGAACTAGGTTACACAGATTACAGAGAGTTTAGAGTGGAAGATTCAGGTTGTTGGTTAGGCTTGCAATTCAGCATTCTTAGGAGCATTCCATACCGAAAATTTATTCTTTTACGGTATTTCTAACTTCACTTTTTTTTTTTTTAAGAAATATGTGTCTTATGATATGACGTTAAATTGTTGCAATCCTCAAATGTCTTGGGTGGCCGAATTTGCTTTCAATGAATATAGATGAGAATGATTCCGAACAAGTTTAGTAGCAATGGTCAATGGAGTTGTTGGTTAGATTGGATTGATGATGCTGTTCTTTCACAATGAGCTCTGATTCGAGAATGAAAATAGATAGTAACGATGCCTTTATATTACCTTTATTTTGAGTCATTGTTCCTTTGTTGGGTTTTATAACCCAATAGGCACATGGGTTCTTTGTGTTAATGTTACCTATCATTCTAGGCCTTCTCAAGTTTGAGATATCTTAGGCACTGTTTGATGGCAAAATTTTGTCAATATATACATATTAATTTTCAATTGACCAAATGGCAATTTGATCAATTGTCATTTGCGCTCTATGTGTGATTGGTTGTGACAAATTTTATAGATTATGTGGTGTGATGGTCCCAAATAGTTGGGATAAGACTTGGATGATGATAATGATGATGTGACGATGATGATGTGGTCTGATGGCATCATGGCGGTGGTGACGAAATGTGGGTAGGCTGTGGTTTAGTGGTAATGGTGGTTTTGTGGCGGTGGCAGCAGGTAGGCAGTGGTGGTGGTGTTAGCTAGGTGGTGGCCGTGTAATGTTGGTCCGATGGTGGTAGTGGTGGTGACTAGTGGCAATGATGTGGTGCTTGTGCAGTCCACGGTAGTGGTGAACTGGGTTGTGGAATAGTGGTGGCCAGGTGGTGGTGAAGGTAGTGGTGTTGGTGGTGTGGTTGTGGCAATGGAGGTCATGGTGGTTTTGTTGTTGGTGGGGGGTGGGGAGGGGAGGGAGAGAAAGAGAGAGAGAGAGTTTTGCAAAACATCTTGGAATAGTTTTGCAAAGAATTAAATTTGAGAGTTTAACTGCAGTTGGAAATGAAATTCAATTTTTTGAATCAAACATCTCTTTGGAGAGAAATTTTCATTGTTGGCCCAAATTGCAATTTGGCTTGGAAGTCAAACGGTGCCTTGGTTTTCTGTTGGAATAACGTGTTTTCAGAACTAATCATTGATGAGGTAAGCAGTAAAACTTGTATAAAGAAGTAATGTAACAAGTGGTTAACAAGGCTCTTCTAAATGTTGTGGTTAACATTGTTCTCCTTTACTGGGACCCTTAAAACTCTTGCATTTTAACTTATTATGATCTCTATTTTACGGGCTTACATTTTTTATCAAATGCTGATCTATGTGTTTTGGTTCCACGCACAGAGAAGCTTTGAAGTTTCTTCTTGTTTCCAATATGAAGGGCAACGAAATGGAGCAATCTATAGTTTCTTCTCCACCCTCTCAAGGTAAAGATATTACTCATTTTTATATTTAATGAAAATGCTTGCTTGAATGTTTCATGTGTTAGTTATCTTGGAATATTGTCCTATTCTCTCTCTCTCTCTCTCTCTCTCTATCGCTATCTTGTATCTGTGGTACAGATTCCAGGCCTATGCATTCGATAGAAATTACACATAAAGTAGGTGTTGCGAGTGGGATGCAACCAAGATCAGGTCCCACCATCTTTTCGAGTTCGTTACCAGTGAAGTGTATGTTATTGTCCATCTTCTCATTTTTTTGGAAAGAATGTTCATGATAAGAAATCACAAGAATGCTTTTTGTAACTTACCTACATTTGGTTTGTACTTTGTAGTGAATTTTACCAACTCAGAACCTGGTATTTCATCCACGGGTACTACATCTTCAAGTTCAAATCAAATGCATCAAGATGGGGACATGAAAGACTCCCTTGAAGATGTAGATTCTCATGCAATTGATAACCTTCTTCCCGATGATGAGGATGAGCTTTTGGCTGGAATTATAGATGATTTTGATTTGAGTGGTCTGCCTAATCAAGTTGAGGATCTTGAAGAGTATGACCTTTTTGGTAGTGGAGGGGGTCTGGAATTGGATTTTGAGTCTCCAGACAGTCTCAGTGTTGGTTTAGCCAAGGCTAGTATTCTTGACAATTATTCTGGAAATGGGAATTCTCAATTTGGCCTTCAAAATGGCCTGGGTGCTGTTGCGGGAGAACATCCATTCGGTGAACATCCTTCTAGGACACTATTTGTTCGAAATATCAACAGTAATGTTGAGGATTCAGAGTTGCGAAACCTATTTGAGGTGAAGTTCACCATTTTGGTTCATCTCCTCTGTAGTCTTTTGTTTTTGGTTGCTACTTTCTAATCCTGGTAGTGACGTGTGTCCTCGTGTCGCACATAGCTTCTCCTACTGTTGTTTAGATATCACTTCATATGAGCCATTGAATCTCTCTCTCTCTTTTTCTCTCTCTCTTTCTCAGCATAAATATTCTCCTCTCTATAATTTACCTTATTTTTCTTTCTCCAAATTAGAAAGATTTAGTAACGATAACCTCTGAATTTAATCAGAAAAATAAATTTAAAGGCTTGGTCTCCTAGATTCTCTTGTTCCTATCTTTATATTCTACTACTTTGATGCAATCTTGTATGAGGCGACAAAACTCTCTCTCTCTTTCTGGACTTACTCAAACCTGTGCAGTGCATGGGCTGTGGACTGGCATTTCTTATAGAGGATTTGTGACTTAACCACTCGGGTGTTAAATATTTGAGAAGACTTGACATCTCAATTCCCTTCCAATTTTTGATACTAAATGTTTTTGTGTTCATTATAGATATGACTGACAGGAAGTTCTTTTGATAATTACATATCCGAAGTTAGATAACAAATTTTGTAGGTACTCATTCATCCATCATGTCTACCATTTGAATAATAGGCTAGTGAACACAGTTCTTGATATAATTCACTTGTGCCCACACGAAAGGTTGTATTGCTGACATGACTTGATTGGCTGGAAAACTAGAGAGGTCTGAGACATTGTGTATGTCTATATTTGCGTTATTCATGGTTTCCTACATGCATAGGCACAACTTCATGAACAGACTTCTATCACATGTATACAGGATATGCCCACCTGTTAATTCACATGTACTTATAT